GTGTGTGTGTGTGAGAGAGAGAGAGAGAGAGAGAAAGAGAAAGAGAAAGAGAAAGAGAAAGAGAAAGAGAAAGAGAAAGAGAAAGAGAAAAAGAGAAAAAGAGAAAGAGAAAGAGAAAAAGAGAGAGAGAAAGAGAAAGAGAAAGAGAAACAGATAGAATGAATATAAATCCTAATTCTGGGGATCTTTTTTTGTTTCAGTTGCTGATGTGGGTGGCCTCGGGGTTGGGATTCTACCAGTTCGGAACTGGTTGTTACACCGACTGAATCCCACTCACTGGGTGGCCTTCAAACCCAAAGGAGAATTCAAAATGGCTGCTTACTTGCGTGTCATGCTGATATTCTGGGCTCGCCACTTTGCAAAGCAGATTCTGGTCTCCCAGGTGGTGTGGATGGTTGTGTTGTCCTTCCATTGTAACATGCCAAGCCGTGTCTTTCAGCTGTACTGAAACAAGAACATCAGGATGTCAAAGAAAAGAGACTCACAAGGTTGGGTGCAAGGGAGCTGAAAGAGGGCATATCAAAGGTATCCCTTCCTTCCAGACCTTTCCTTGGCAAAGCTCTGGTGTTGAGTCCTTGTTGTTCTCAGAACTTTCCTGCAGATGGTTCATGACCAGCCTAGGTCATACAATCAATGCAGGGAGGAAGTCGTCAACCAAGGGGCCAGGGACCACTGGTGGTCCACAAGAAAATTTTGGTGGTCCGCAGAGAAATGTCCCCCCAAAGCAATTAATCCAGGCTGCGTGGGAACACAAGGCTTGTGTCGCTTGCATTGCGAACAACATGAGGTAGTGAGGGGAGGGGGGAAAGGGCAGAGGGGGGGAACTTGCCCCATGTGCCTGGCCTGGCCACCGGGCTTCTTCTTTTCACTTCTGCTTTTGGCTGCATGCAAGGAAAGCAGCCGAAGTCTTTCTTTCTCTCCCCCAAACTCCGCCAGAAATGAGTCTTTGGGACCCTGCAAGGCCTCCTGCTCCAAGAGGCTGCGCCAGCAAAGACTCATTTCTGGTGGAGTTTGGGGGAGAGAAAGAAAGACTTCTGCTGCTTCTGCTGTTTTCCTTGCATGAAGCCAAAAGTCTCTCTCATGCTCTCTCCCCCTGAGAACAGGGCTGGAGACGGTATCCTGCAATCCCAAATAAAGAACGATCGATCGGTAGGAAAACGAGGTGGGGAATTTTCCTGCAGATTTTTTTTTTGGGGGGGGGGGGGGTGTTTCCCAGAGCCTCTGGTTCCTGGGATTTAAAATTATGAGTTTGGTGCTCCCTGAGGTCCAAAAGGTTGGCGACCCCTGACCTAGCTGGTAACGAACCAGCTGCTGGACAACATCTAAAGACAACCACCCAAAAAATATCTGCAGGAAAATGAGTAATGTTGGCCAGAAAGTCTGCAAACAACCAAGTGTGGAGAATACCATGGACCCAACAATTCAACCTTAGCTCCTTCTCTTTTCTACCCAAAGCTCTGATGACCATCTAAATATCCAAAAATGTTCCTTATAAAGTCAGTACTTGGACCATTGGTTCCTTTCTTCTCTCAGTGCTGTTCCTTTTCATTTGCTTGGGGTTGGTAGCAACCATCCACCCAAGAACCTCGCAGAACTTAAGTCAACTTAAGGTTGGGATAACACAAGGTAAGGAGAATCAGGCAAGTAGCGAAACAGAAAATAAATAATTTCCCACTTAAGAGCATGACAACCAAAGACTAAGGAAGCATTTCTGCAGGTAGATCTGCAAAGGAGCTCGCAAACACCGTATTATAGCTATCCCACCTACGGTGTCAACCAAGGAAAAAAAAAACAACACCAATAAATCTTTGCAGAGAGAAATGAAAAACCTGACACACAAACCAAATGTCTTTGGCTGCTCTTGGGACCATTTTGATTTTAGGTCAGGTAGTTTCAAAGATGGAAAAAAAAAAACACCACCTTGTCAGGAGGAAAGAGAGAAAGAGAGAAAGGGAGGAGGGGGAAACGGTTCAATTTAACCAAGTTCCAGAAAAAAACACAGCCGAAACAAGAATTGAAACCTGGTTCTGGCATTTCCTCCACCTCTTGTCAACTACATGGAAATCCATTTTTCCTGAAGTCAAAATACTTTGGGGTGACACAATTATTGGCCTGTGCATGTATTAATTAAGCTTTTCCACTTTCAATACATCTTCCAGATATGATCGGGAGGGGAACTTTTAAGAGCTCACTTTAAAAGAAAACCATGACCAACCAGAGGCATCAAAACCGTAAACCTTTTCTTGACCTGCTGCTATTGAACCACGTTTTCTCATTTTGCCCATAAACCATCATCTGTCAAGATGCTTTGCAAGACTCCCAATATTTTCAAAACCATGTCCTCCGACTGGTGTCCGGATCAGTGGTGGGATTCAATTTTTTTACTATTGGTACTGCTTGGTGGATGTGACTTGGCGGGCGTGGCTTGGTGGGCATGGCAGGGGAAGATTACTGAAAAATCCCCCTTCCCTCCCCACTCCTGGAGGAAGCTTATTACAAACTCCCCCTTCCCTCCCCACCCCACTAACCTGCTTTCCAGCTCCGTTCTCCTGGGCAGGGCAACCAAAGGAGACCCAGCCGATCAGCTGGGACTCAATGGGAGGCAGAGAAGAGATGGGGTTGGCGGGGCCACTCAGAGGTGGGATTGGCCGGTTCTCCAAGGTGCTCACAATTTCCGCTACCGGTTCTGCAGAACCGGTCAGAACCTGCTGAACACCCACCTCTGGTCTGGATGGGGATCACTAAACACCCTGGGCCACTTATTCCCAAGTGACTTTTATGGTCTGTTATCTTGCAGCACTTATGCCACGAGATCTTGTAAAGACAATTTCACTTGTCGGTTAGTATTCTTGTGACAATTTCAGTGGCTCAACCTTTAAATCTCATCCGTCATGCTGAAGAATTCCGGCAACAAAAGCGATAGTAATATACACACTTCCTCCTGGTAGAGCCCAATTACTTGCTGTGTTGTTGTTGTTGTTGTTGTTGTTGTTGTTGTTGTTGTTGTTGTTGT